GCAAATGGCGCTGCGACGTCGGTCGCCGTTGACTGCCAAAATAATATTCTTCGACCGTTCTTATACGTTCAAACTGGAGCCAGGCAGGCTGACAGCACATGTGCATGGTAAAATCCGATCTACATGCTTCACTTCGCTCGCAGCATCGCGCCACGATTTCCAACTATGCTAACGTATGGGCCAATGGCTCTGCGACGTCGGTCGCCGTTGACTGCAAAGATAATATTCTTTGGTCGTTCTTATACGTTCAAACAGGAGCCGGGCAGGTGCATGGTTTTTCACAGCACGCGTGCATGGTAAAAGCTGAGCTACATGCTTCACTTCGCTCGCAGAATCGCGACACGATTACCAGCTATGCTAATGTATGGGCAAATGGTGTTGCGACGTCGGTCGCCGTTGACTGCCAAGACAAATTTATTCGGCCGTTCTTATACGTTCAAACTGGATCTAGGCAGGCTGACAGCACTTATATGCATAGTAAAATCTGATCTACATGCTTCACTTCGCTCGCAGCATCGCGCCACGATTCCCAGCTATGCTAATCTATGGGCAAATGGCGCTGCGACGTCGGTTGCCGTTGACTGCCAAGGTAATATTCTTCGGCCGTTCTTATACGTTCAAACTGGAGAAGGGCAGGCTGACAGCACGTGTGCATGGTAAAATCTGATCTACATGCTTTACTTCGCTGGCAGCATTGCGCCACGATTCCCAGTTATGCTAATCTATGGGCAAATGGAGCTGCGACGACGGTCGCCGTTGACTGCCAAGATAATATTCGTCGGCCGTTTTTATACGTTCAAACTGGAGAAGGGCAGGCTGACAGCATGTGTGCATGGTAAAATCTGATCTACCGGAGCGGGGGTGCCTGTATAAAACTCTATTGCTATGGCTCTTGTAAAAGACGGTACGACACCCTAGCTTGTATATCTCGGACATGTTTTAGACAGCATTCTCTCAGATACATCTACGTGTATATATTCGCCGAACAACTCGTAATTTAACAGATACTGGGCATATGCAACCCAGGATATGGCCGGCTGCCACATTAGCAAATATTATAGAATTTTATCTACGTACCACATTCTAAAATGCGGGTTCGCGCATGCGCAGTAACAAACTAAATAACTGATATTTTGGTTCAAAAACGTATTTGAACTCGAGCGGGAGTACCCGTGTGTAGATTTATGGGATAAAACTCTATTGCTATGGCTCTTGTAAAAGACGGTACGACACCCTAGCTTGTAGGGTATCCCGGACATGTTTCGGACAGCATTCTCCTAGATACATGTACGTGTATATATTCGCCGAACAACTCGTCATTTAAGAGATACTGGGCATATGCAACCCAGGATATGGCCGCCTGCCACATTAGCAAATATTATAGGCTTTTATCTATGTTCCACGCCTATATAAGGCGTAATATATATATATATATATATATATATATATTATATATTAGTAGTACGTACTACTTCGTTACGTGTAGGTAGGTCGGTCCGTCGTACGCTATAC